AATTGTGGCTGCCAATCGATAGACTGATCACCTATCGATCTTTCTTCCCGTCACCGAGCGCAACCCCGACGTCCCCCTTTCCCCGCCGGCTTTGAATTGCAGACGGATTAACTGGCTTGGGCCCCGCCAGCTGGAGCAACTTGTGTGGTTGTTCCGACGACCGGACCACCTGCGTCGTGACTGCAAGCGGCGTGAGTAAAGTTTTTTGCAACCAATAAGTTGTGTCTGCCTCTCCATTCACCAGTCTGCCCTGACGTACGAGCGTAACTCGAGTCGGCCCTGGCCGTCCGAGACAACATCAATCACTACTACTAATATTTTAAATAAAGCTATGATATAGTATATTTGGATTAATTTATGCAGACTATTAATTTAATAGTCTTCCCTTACACTGTCTCTTTTCAGGCTTGTGCTTTGTTTAATTGTATTTCATTACTGCTTTAGTTAGACATATTGATTGCTTTCTTTACTTTGCTGACCGAGCTAGTTGTCACATATGTAAAGGTTCACACTATGGTTACTCAGAAGCAGGCTTTGAGGCCTTCTGCTTAGCCATATTTCTGCAGCTTGGCTTAGGCCTCTTGAAAATGGACAAGGCTGGCAACATACAGCTGCTCCAGGGCTGTCTAATGCTGACAGTGGTTTGTATTCCTACTTGACTGGTTGACTTTAGGGATAGGTCTTTGTTGTCCCAACCTATAGACAGTAAGCCTTGTTTGTCCTTCAAGCAACTGTATACAAGGGTAAGTTCATAAATAGATTTGGAGACCCAAGAACTGGAAGCTGTTCCTAACTGGTGGATGCTTGGGATTTGTGTCCTTGGCATAGTGCAGGAACATGGAAAAAAACCTGATCTAGCTCTAAGCAAGATAACTTGGCCTAGCTGCATTAGTGTGGTACTCTGGTTGGACTAGATAGCTCTGCTGTAAAGCAGTTTATTGCTAGTTGGCCTATCCAGAGTTCCATTTTAATGTAACTATACTACTTCCAGTACCTAAGCTAACTTGTTCTCTGATATCTCTGGATAGCGCTGCTTGTGCCTTGGAGACGCATGTAGTCAGTGGGATTCTATAAAGGCCTTGGGGTCCACTCATGTAGGATTGAGGTCTTAAGTGTTAATAGGGCTCCTTACAGGAGTAAACTATGTTGCATAAGTGCCAGGACCTTAGCATTTCCTCATTTAACTTGGCTCATTAATTGAACAAACATATCAGTACGTGGTAAGCAAAGTTTATAGATGTGGACTGAAGTTGATAGCAATACATGTCAGGCACTGGGGAATGTTACTATAGGCATTTATGTATGCCTATTTCTTTAATAAATACAGTACTTTGAACAGTCTAATAGCATTAAATTGCAAGAGAGCAGATAGTATGTAGCATAAACTGAGGAAAAACATTGTGCTTAGATATTGCAAGGTCATGGTTAAAAATCTGAGCATAAGACTAATGGCCCATAAAAAGCAGCACTAGCAAAGCAGAAAGATATGTTTTTACAGAGAAAATTAACAGTTATTTATCTTTTTGTCTCCAAAATGGAAGAATACAGGGAGATTGTTTAGATGCAGGAGTTAAAGAGAAGGCCCCAAGAATGTGATAGAGAGCAGAGACAAGTCTGAAGTGGGGGAGAGAGAGAAAGAAACAAAGTTCATACATAAGGGCTGTGTCTACACATGCTATTAAGGTGAAACAATAAACTCAGGCACTTAGACACCAGAGTTTATTGCTCTTGGGCACCACCTTTATATATGTGCCCAGGACTGTAGCACATTGAGCCGGGTTGGAGCAGTTCTGGTTGACAGGAGGCCCAGGGGGCCAGCCTCCCAATCTGGGGCTGCTCTGACCTGGCTCAACATGCAGCAGAGGGGCTGGCTGGGGCATGGGGGTGCCCCAGTGAGGGCTAGCCGGCAGGCGGCCCCTGCCCTGAAGCACCCTCGTGCCCCAGCCAGGCCTGTCAGCATTTACATGTGCAGCACTGTGGAGTAAAAAACTCTGCAGCAGGGTACTACTTGTAAATACAAGTACAACCAAGACCTATATTTACAAGTAGTACAACCTGCTGTGGAGTTAATTAGTTTCCTGTGGCCTCATAGGGCCATGTGTAGACACAAGACATGTACTGTGGAGTGAATTAGTCTACTCCGCAATAAATGTCTTGTGTAGATGCGCCCAAGATGGAGAAAGTCCATAGGGGCCCCTGATGCTGATTCTATATTGTATTAGAATTTTTAAGCTTTTAAGTTTCCCTTTTCAGGCCAGTTTTAATGAACTCTAGTTTTATTATAGTCTTATGGGGAAGACAAGTCTGTAAATTGTATTTAAATCATTCTCTTTGCTCCTGTGCTGTTTCAGATACAGGAAGAGGACTATTGACCACAAAAGCTTTTCAGGTTAGTACTTGTGCCTCATGAACAGTAGAAGCAGGTGTAGATTTTCTGGCCCAGAATCAATCTTGTGCCTAAGAAAGCCTAATAGTCCAGAGGCAGTCTGAGAGCATATCTTTTGTACTCTGAGGAGCAGGAAGCAGTTGTCTGTTAAGGAAGTCCCCTTCATAAGCTACAGCAACTCCTGATCCCTCATGCACTTTCCATAAGGGAGAGGAGGTTGATGAAATAACACCTTGTGCTTCAGTTGTTAATAGTCCCTTGGTGCCCAAGGGTGTCCATTAGCAAATACCTCCATCAAAGGGGTCTTCCTGCAGGTCCAGGGGTGTTGTGTCCAGGCCATGTGCCTGCAGTTCTGCCCGCTTGGCTAGTGTAAAGGGCATATCAAGGAGGAGATGTGGTGGAGTGGAGCATAGTCCCTTAAGGGTACTCTTTCCACTGTCTTGAGGAGAGTTTTGGTGCGTAAGAGAATCTAGCTTGAAACGCTTTCCCCTCTGTCAAGGGGAGAGGTGATTCTTGTTAGCCAGTCACCAGTTACCCACAAACTGTTCATCTAACTTTTACTCTGATTTTTTCCCCAAAGGCAGGGGAGTTGATTATTTCATTGCCTGAAAAATGCTTACTCACCACTGCCACTGTCCTTAATAGTTACCTTGGGAAATACATTGCAAGGTAAGTGGAGGAAACGAAGCAGTTCCTTAAGAAGTTTCTCAGTTGATCTTTACTATTCCTCATACATTAGTCATTTTGCTGTTTGAACTGATGTTAAGGTCTTACGTTATACTTGTCTGAGTACTTCCTTTGGTTACAACAAGACTGTTTACACGTGTGAAAACTATTCAGATAGGTAAAGCTTTAAAGCATGGAGCCTCTTATATACCTGGATCTGTACATTACTTGTCCACAATTACTGAACATGCATGTGGTAAGAGAATGAGGACACAAAGCACTAAATGAATGTATTTCAATTTCTTTGAAATTTCAGAACAGAAGCTACTGTAGAATATTGAAGAGTATTTTACATGCTTTAAACAACTTTTACTATTTGAATTCATTTTCACAGCATGCCAGTAAAATTAAAAAAAAATAGAAATAATGAAAAAGACATTTAGAGGTGAACAACAAAGAAGTTTGTCATTGTAATTGTGTGTTAAAATCCCCAGGTTTTGAAAGAATGGTGGTGGTAGGATTTTCTCTCTCACACCTTTGTATTTCTTTTGTGTTTGTTCTATAGATGGAAGCCTCCCCTGTCTCCTTTGATAGTACTTTGTACATTTTTAATAGCAGAGAAACACACTGGGGAAAGATCTCTGTGGAAGCCTTACCTTGACATTCTACCAAAGACATATACCTGTCCTATTTGTTTGGAACAAGAAGTAGTGAAACTTCTTCCTGATCCCTTAAGAAGGAAGGCTCAGGAGCAAAGAACAGCGGTCCAGGAGCTTTACTCCTCTTCCAAGCCTTTCTTCTCTTCCCTGCAGCCTTTGTTAACAGAGAATGTAGAGGCAGTTTTTACCTATGATGCCCTGCTGTGGGCTTGGTGTACCATTAATACAAGAACAGTGTACATGAAACAGCCACAGAAGGAATGCTTCTCTAGAGAGCCAGATATTTATGCACTGGCTCCTTATTTAGATCTGCTCAATCATAGTCCACATGTTCAGGTAAGAACAAGCAAAGATGACATTAATTTGTCAATCGTGTTACGTGATATAGCGCACACATTTTTGTGTCCACTGAGTTGAGAACACAGGGTTTCACTGAGAGGTTGTGCCTGGATTAAAACTGATTAAATACAGGGGAAGCTTACAGCTTTACAGTTTGATACTAACTTTGTGTCTGTCAGCTCTGCTTCTCTCTGCCTCTACAGCAGGGAGGGGAAGGGGGACCATTCCTATAAGCCTGCCTGGAAACACAGGCCCCATTGGGGAGCTATGCTCCACCTGCATATGGCTAGTGGGAATTGGAACTCCCAGGAGCTGTTTGCCAAAAAGTGCAGTGCAGTCTCAGCTTTAAGGTAACTCCACTCCTGTCCCAGAGCCAGGGGTCACAGCCAAGTGGGGGTTCCTCCTTTTTTTTTTTTTTTTATGCCACAAGCCTTTCCGTCTCTCCGCTACTGGTCCAGAATTTCCGTAGGTGTCATAACTGGGTGGATTTTCAAGGAGAGATTTGAGAGAGGCAAGGGGAATTGATGCTTTGGATCCAAGGGAAATCCCATATTTCAGGATGAGAGAAGAAAAAACAAAGATGGTTGCGGGAAGTGGACAGATAATATGCTAAGATTGGCATAATTCTTGTAATGGAGGGTTAAGGGACAATAGAAAAAATAAAGATTGACGAGGAGAGAGGGCTTGGAGACGAGCTTAAGCCTAAAAAGTGGAAGAGGAAAAAGCCAAGGAATATAGAAGGAAGGGAGGGTAATGCCAGCTTTGGCCCTTTGCAAGTGACTATGCAGGGGGTCGGACTCGATGATCTATTGAGGTCCCTTCCTACCCTAACATCTATGAATCTATGTAGCTGCGTATGCATGAGCTTCCATATGCCACGGAAACATACCGTGTTACTTGGAGTATTACAATAAGTAAGATTTTTATGAGTCAAATAGGAATACATTCTCCCTCCCATGGTACCTTTACCTCAGTACACCACTATGTTGGCGCACATGAAACATCTGCAAGTCCCAGGTAGAGGATTGCCTTCAGTATAAGCACTGTGTTGGCCTGTTGTAAGCAGCCCTACACTGCCCTCTCTCAAGGCTCAGCAAAACAGGTATGCCAAGGGCATGGTTTCTGGAATGACTAGTACTTTTGGGTGCAGACCAACCTAAGGGGAGTCCTCAGAAGGATGTTATACACAAGAGCAAACTCTGGCAGGTCTAATTCATCCCAGGGGTCAGACTGGTTCGTGTAACTGCATGGAATCATGGCAGGACATCAGTAAGAGCCATCTTTGACTCTGTGTCCCCTGAGTGGGCCTTTTTTTGCTCTGCTTCTTGGATATGGTATGTGATTTGTAATTCTGGATCTTCAAGTGGCAGTGGTGGCTAGGAGTGCCTTTCACCAACTCCATCTGATGAGAAGGCTGACCCTTTCAGATCTGATCTGACCACCATCAACCATGCCTTTGTAATCTTGAGGGTAGACTATTGCAATGCACTCTATGTGGGGCTGCCCTTGAAAACCATCTGGTGACTGCAGCTGGTGTAGAATGCTGTAGACCTCCTGATGGGAGTGGGTCACCAGGAACGCATAACTCCAGTCTTCTAGTGTCTGCATTAGCTCCCAGTAGTCTTTTGGGCCTAAGAACTGCTTCTGAATTATACATCCCTAAACAGCCTGTAACCTACATACAGAGGGGACTGCCTTCTCCCCTATACCCCATCATGATCCCTAAGCCAGCCAAGAGCAATTTCCTGCAAGTACTATTAGTACACCAAGTTTTCTTGGGAAAAACACATGGGAGGTGATTTCCCATAGCTGCTCATCTCTTGAACTCCCTCCCTCTTGAAGCCCATCAGAGCCTGAACCTGGGCATCTTTCCAAAGGACTGCAAGACCTTACTGTTTAGACAGTCATTTAGAAACCAAAACTAGGCCAAAAATTAGTTAGTGGGTCTCTGCTTTGTTTTGATTTGTTATTTTGCTAGGTGCCCTTTTAAGTTATTTTGTCCCCTTTGCTGTAAGCCACCCTGACCCTTGTTGGGAAGGATGGCATATAAATTGCATAAATAAATAAATAAATAATTTGAGGAGATCTTTCATCTGAGCCCAGCTGGCCTGAAAATAGGCCCTGGGTGTAACAAAGAAAACTCTAATTTTCAATATCAGTTTGCATTGAATGCTAGATGTTTATACCCTTTTATTATGGTACAGTAAAAACAATGAATATTGCTAGTCTTTAGTATTCTAGATGTGGTATTTCTTTTTCTCCCTGACATTAACCCAAATGTCTTTTTTTCTTTCTCAAAGGTGAAAGGCACCTTTAATGAGCAGACGAGATGTTATGAAATTAGGATGGATTCACACTGCAGAAAATATAAAGAAGTGTTTATCTGTTATGGACCTCATGATAACCAGCGACTCCTGCTAGAATATGGATTTATTGCCATTGATAACCCACACAGTAGTGTTTATGTCTCAACAGGTTGGGCTATAGACTAATCTTAGACTTAGGAAACGGAATACTACAGAATGGGGAGCTTAGTTTATTGGCGCTCTATCTTTTCATTTGGAAGGTCTGGGCTACTGTAAATAAGGAGCAGTTAGGAAGCATAAATGGTTCCATTCCACTAGCCTGTGGCCAGTATGAACACTGTAGTTATTTTTAGCAGCATAATAATGTATATGCAAAAATAAAGTAGAATACTGTATTGATTTCATTTTTGCCATTTTGACCACCATCTAATAGAGATTTTTAATGGAAAGTGTTTTTTTCCCCTCCTAAATGACTTTCACTTTTCTGGAATTGTATTTTCATTTAGCATTTAGCATTGCAATTGTGTTTATATTTAGCATTGCAATTAAGCTTGAAATCCTGCCTGCTTTGAAGTTTTGCTGTTGACATCAGTTAAGCCAGGATACCACTTTAAGAACTCAGTTGGTGGCTGGGTGCTCCTTTGAGATGTGAAACACTTGCAATTCGTAGTCAAGTCAAATCTCTATTAAAGCTCTTCAGAGCATGGCAGTGGCTTGTCTTTACATAATGTTCTGTTGGGAAATTATTTATTACTATAGTATGATAAAACACTTAGAAATCAAGTTGGTTGTTTTCCCTGTTAATTGTTTATTGAAACACTTTTAAATATATATTTTTTGCAGATACTCTTCTTAAATGTGTCTTTCCAGGGGACAAGAAGAGGAATACAAAACTTTCCATTCTAAAGGATCATAGCCTTTTGGAGTAAGTATTGGTATGTGTGCATGTTAAAGTTCAGTTTCTTTGCTGAAATAAAGATTACTGCTTTTTTTCTAACTTCAAGAAAATGAGTTGGTCAGATACATATGCATCATCTTTTTTGATTTTGGCAAAGCATTTAAGTGGATAAAAGACAAATGAAACTTAAAAATCAGAGTCAGGGCTCAGCAGAAGGCAGTGGGACCACCTAGTCTTCTGGCTGTGGGAATCAGCAGGGAAAAGGAACAGTTCTTCTGCCCCTTGCCAGCTATATATGGAGATAAGAGGATGCTGCCACTGGGCAAAAGTCTGGCTGTTACTGCTTTCAATGTGATAAGTCTGTAAAGGGCACACAACTATAACCATTGCTTATATGTTCTTCCTTTGGTTAATTTGCATTTTTAGAAACTTGACGTTTGGATGGGATGGGCCATCTTGGAAACTGCTCACAGCTCTCAAGCTGTTGTGTCTTGGAGCAGATGAATTGTAAGTTTCAAATAAACACTCACAGAAGGCCATCATTGTTTAGAAAATCTATGGATCCCAGTATCGTTTTGCCTGTGCCCTTCCAAACTCACTGCAAAGTATAGGGGTTATTGTGTGGTTCCTTTCCCTATAAAATGGACTGGGGATAATTCATCATATAAATATCATCATGGAATCATAGAAAATGAGGGTTGGAAGGGACCTTAGGAGGTCATCTAGTCCAACCCCCTGCTCAAAGCAGAACAATCTCCAACTAGATCATCCCAGCTAAGGCTTTCTCTAGCCGGGTCTTAAAAATGTCCAAGGATGGGGATTCCACCACCTCCTGGGCAATCTGTTCAAGCACTTTACTACCCTCCTAGTGAGAGAGTTTTTCCTAATATCTAGGGATGCACCAATGAAGATTTTCTTGGCTGATACCCATGTCCAGTTATTAACCAGCCATATCGGCTGATACTGATCTGATAGCTTATTGACAGGAATACAGCCTGGCAGCTTGGAGAGCAGCGTCTGGCTGGTAAGTTTGTGGGGAGGCGGTGGGAAGGGAAGGGGCATAGGGAGGCAGATTGAGGCCCCAACAGTGAGCGGGGGAGTGGGTCAGAGTCAGGAGCAGGCGCTGCCCAGCCGGACTGGGACACACGATGGGACACAGGATGGGGCTGCAGGGGGGTGGGGGGAGGGGGAAGCAGCTTCCTGCTGCTATGCCCACCCCTGGTAGAGGTGTGGGAGCCTTGTCCCCCCTGGATTTTTGTGCGGAGTGAGAGTGGGCTGCCTGCTGCTGGCTTGGGGCCAGGAGCTGCGTAGGCCTCTTCCTGGTGGGGGCTGGGTCAGGGTTGCGCTCGGGGCAGGCAGGGGTGGGGTGGGTGGTGGCATTGGGAGGGGGGCTACGGGATGGGCTACAGCCACCCCAAAATTCATCATAGCCCCCGCTGACAGCATCACCGCCACCCACCCTGCCCCTGTATGCCCTGTGCGCAGCCCTCACTGTGGGGGCCTCGATCTGTCCCCCCGCAACACCCCTTCCCTCCCCCACACTCTTTGCTCCCCACAGACTTACCAGCTGGATGCTGCTCTCCATGCTGCCAGGCTACATTCCTGGCCACATGCATGCTGTGGCTGTGCACATACATGCAGCATTTATCAGTAACATTATCGGCTACACTGGCCAAAAATGGCCAATTGCCAATAATGTTAATTTTTCTTTTATCAGTGCCAATCAGATATACAACTAATATATCGGTCAACCTCTACTAATATTAACCTAAACTTCCCTTGCTGCAACCTCAGACCATTGCTCTTTGTTGTCTTGATTGCACAAACAACTATGGTGGCTGGCTTTGTAAATTTGTAAACAATAAGTATTCTGTTGTCCTACTCTCCCTGCTCCAAGAACTGGTTCTTACTTTAATGTTGGGTGTTTTGCAGCCTGTTAGTTTGACTGGTCTCATGAACTGTGTCCCCACATTGATTTCTCTGAAGAGAATATTTAGGGACTACTGTTGACATTTCTAGACCCAATTTATTGCTGAAGTTCAAGGGTTCAAGTCCAGTGACATCAGTGCTGTGCACTTAATCCTAACAATGGATTTGGGGTTCAGAATCTGATATTGATTGAAAATGACTAAATGAGTTGTACCCTGTATAAAATATGCCTTTAAATATCCTTTTCATTTTAATTTGACTCCCCATTTTTGCTGAGGATCCAGCTTGCCATGACATGGAGAGCCATCAATCCAACATACCACTAAATGTCTGTATGTTCTACTCACATTCTCCAGCTGTGTCCATCAACATGTATCTGAGTGCTAAAGGACTGTTTTTATGTGTGCTATATTTGATCTTCTATTATCTGGGTTCTTTTTTTCCTGGCTGTTCAGTTTATTGTCCAGATGAGGAATGCAACAAATGACCACCTGTTCAAATATTTTGGTTTTAGTACTTGCTGGAAGAGAGTGCTACTCGGTGATGTGATTTCATCTGGAAATGAAGCGAAGGCTTTGAAACTAGCAACAAAAATATGTTTTTCTATAACAGAGGAGACACAGCATGTCCTTCATCAGGTAACTTGCTTAGAAGAAGGCAGTGGTCCAGATTTTCCTCTCAGTTTCCCATGCATAAATTGGTAGTAGCACTGCTAAACTGAGTTGGATTTAAGTTGCAGTTTGGTTACAGGCAGCAGTATGATAATATAGTTACCAGATCATTTGTCAGGCATTAGCTAATTACTGCTTATCTAATAGAAAGAGGGTGTCATTCTCTTTTCATTGCCAGTGGGGCTCATGCATAATATATTCCAGATTTACATCAGTATAATAGAGATCAAAATTTGGTTCAATTAGAGTGCCTGAAACAACTGGATCTTTTGAGATCTTAACCTTTGGGAGCAGGGGAGGATTGACACTCTTTGGGAGTTAAATGCAAAATGGATTTTAAATTGATGGGAAGGATATTTAAAAACATAAAGGGGCTCAGGGATGTAAGTGGACTTTACGTTAGGCGCACCTGGAAATTAGTATAAGGTGGCAAAAAAAAGTGAGCATTGAATTAATTGGAGTGAATCTGGACTGACACTTTCGTAACTGAGATCACAGAATTGCTCATCATTTGAAATTCCTTTTTTTAAAACTTGCAGCAATATTATTGGGAGGGTGCATGTGTGTGTGAATGTGTGTGCACACATAGGCATGCACATATATATGTATATATATAGTAAAACTGCATATATATATATATAGTAAAATCAAGTGACTGCCCTGCTTAAATGACTATAAAGGAAAAGGGCAATGAAATGACAAGGAAAATAAGCATATGCATTTGGTACAAGCAGTTCATAGCCCTCATAGTGCAGGTACAATATCTCAAGCCTACAGTTGTTGAACTGGAAGAGCAGGGGGCAAGGAACTGTTTGTAAACATGACTTACAGGGACATTTGAGAGTGTGAGTACCCCAGCCCTGACTTCCTTGACCTTCCTATTTGGAAATTACCTTATTCCCCTCATATAACGCACCCCCAAATATAAACACACCCTATTTTTAGAGGGTCCTAAGAAGGAAAAAAATCTTATTTTGAAGTACAGATACCTGTATGGAGACTCACTTGTAGGTGTGAAGGTGGTGAATATAATGAGATGCTTTAGATGGACTTCTGGGGAAGAGCCTTTGGTCATAGTACGTGTTGGTACTGGCAACCTCTGGACATAGAATATAAAGGGGAGAGGTTCTGGAAATGAAATTTCTACAGCTAAATAGGTGGAATTCTTAGATCCCAGGCCTCAGTGATAGTTTTCCCTGCAATGCTTCTAGTTCCAGACATAGATCCAATTAAGCAAAGGGATCTTCTGGGTTTCCATGTCCGTTTGAGAAGATAGTACAGACCAGAGGAAATTTTAGTTTCTTTGGCTTTTGGGTACATTTTGGAAAAGCAAGACACAAACTGAAGCGGGTAGCTGAACCTTATACCAAATGGAACCTTTCTTGTTATGGAAAATAACAAGGTATGTGTTTAACTGAAGTGTGAGTCAGACAGAGACAGCTGTCCGTGATGCTGGGAACAGAGAAGTACCTTCACAGCCAATCATGGAGAGGCTGGAAACAACAGCTAGAACAACTAGGACAGGGAAAGGATAGAAGCACAGAGACAGAGTCTGTAAAATCAGCAGTATGTCAGATCAAAGAGTTAAATAAAAACAGATTCCCAGTCAGGAATAACATCTGAAATGTGTGTTTATAAGTGCAAGAAGTTCATAAGTAGAAACAGATGATTTAGAATGCTGAACTGTGGACAAGGACTTGGAAATAATAGGCATTACAGAAACAGAGTAGAATAATGTAGTGGGATGTTGTAATGACTCTTACAAACTGTAATGGAATGACTGGCTAGGTTGAACGGGTGCGATAGGGTAGTACTGTTACTAAAGGATTCCATAGTGTCCAGTGAGATTATAATTCTGAGTGGAGAGTACCACACAGTGGAATCTGCACAGGTCTAAATTCCAAGCTGTAAGAATGTGAATATAAAAATGTAGATCAAGAAAAGAAAATGTGTTCAAAAGTTTGAGAGCGCACAAAAGTGCAGCAGTCTAGTAAAATGCTGATAATGGGGGACTTCAGAAATACAGGTCCAGGTAGACACTGTTGAAAAGGCCTAAAGAGATAAAGTGATAAGTTCTTGTTTCTTAACACTGCCATCTTAAATCACTGCTTTTTTCATTAGCAAATTCTAGATCAAAGAGGAGGGGAGGCCATTGCCACAGCCTTACTCAGTACACAAGATCTAATTAAAAAAGTAGCTCTACCACTAAGGAAAGGTGACTGCAACACAATTTAGCTCACTACCTCAGATTTATGTCAGTGGTGATCTACTGTTTGTCTGCTTACAGGAGGAATCTTAAGCATCTTTCACAAAGTTCTTGGTGTGGTTGCTGTTGAACTAGATGGGCCTTAGGGTCTGATTCAGTAAGGCACTGACTTGAAATAAGTACATTTGTTCCCTAACCTAGTCTTAGCCTTTGTTTCCTGTCTGTGTTATGGATTTTGTGTGAACACTTTTTCACTTTGCTGCTAACTCTGTTGTCTTGGTAAGACAAAATGTACAGTATGTTCATGATGCAAAATTTTACCTCTGGCACAAATTAACTTGTGAGAAGCATCTGTTCATGTACACACCCTGTTAATCATCTTATTCTTTGAAATAAAACCTTCTCACTTATTTTACATATTTCAGATTTCTCATTTGAAAAAGGATAACGTAAATCTTGAAGCCCAGCTGGCTTTGATAAAGGGACTGCGCCTGGAAGACCTAAGGATCTTGCAAAAGTCAGCAGAGATTCTGTCCAACTTGAATGCTACAGCCACTTGACTGCTTGAGAAAGTTGTTCATGTCTGTTACAACTCAGTGGATCTCACTGGCCAGGAGCTACAGGCCTGCCTGACTCAGACACCATAAATGACCAGTAACTGCAAAATAATAATGTTAAATTATGGTGAAAATGTGTCCAGCTTTGTTTACATGTATTCATACCAGATATGGGATCATATTTTGTACTGGATCACCTAAGAAATACATCATGGAACAGGAGTCGGCAACATATGGCCTGTGGGCTAGATCTGGCCTACAGAATCTTTGGACCCAGCTGGCAGATGTGGGGCTTCAGTAACATTCAGTGGTCAGGAGCACTGGCTATAGGCTCTGTGCCTGTGCTGTTGTGGGGACCAGCAGTGGCAGCTGCAGAGTCCTAGCGCCTGTCTTCCTCCAATTTGGAGTGGGTCATTTTGGCCCTTAGTCAGAAAAGGTTGCCTACTTCTGGCATAGATAATGCAGCTGAAGGGAAAGGGGGACAAACTTATCTTTCTGTCTCTGAGTCATTCAGATTCGGGAGGATCAGTGTTTGGAACTTTCCACTGCCTATGGACTGTATGGGAGCCCAGTATCTCTCTCTGGGCCCTCCAGCTTACTAATGACCTCTTTAACTTTCCTGCCATGCCTTGATCTTACTTATAAGTTTAGGAAACTGCCATATCTAGTCTTCATCCTCTCAGGTACTGATACTGGCTCCTGCACACTTATGTAGGCATCCTTTTTGTCTCTCCTGTTAAGGGGTGCCTGCTTGAATCCTCCCACAATAGAGGTGACTAGCAGGACCTCTCACACCCTGCAATTTTACCACTCTTGTATGGTCCCAGTGAGTCTTTCTTATTTTCATATTCCCCCTTAGACACTCCGTGAAGGATCAGTCCATTGGTTCCCTGGGAGCTCTGCAATTTCTCTCAGCCCTACAGGGGTGTGTCCTTAGGTTGAAGGAGCTGTCTGTTCCTCCCATAGGCAATGCTGTGCTCAAAGTCCATGAGCCCCACATTTAAAGCAATGTCCATGGGTGGAGGGGACCTCTATCTCTGGGGTTGTCCTGACCTTCTCTCTGTGGGCCTTACTTTCTGTTGGACTGAGTCCTTGGTCAACCTTCCCCAGCTTCCTTAAGTGTTCCCTTCTAACCGTGTCCTGATCCACTGAAAAATCTTCAGCGAGCTACACCACTTCTTCCAGTGTTATGAGGCAGTGTCTCCTCACCCAGTCTCTACCCCCAGTCTCTAAATCCCACAGTATTTGTTCTAATACTGTCTTCTCCACTACTTCCTTGGCTGTTCCTACATCTAGGTGATGTCCATAGGGTCTAACTCTATGCTTGGGGTTAGTGACGCATCTGGTCTTTCTAGTCTCTAAATTGCTGGCATTGTGACTCTTGCTATGCCTCTTTAACATAGTACAACCTGTTTAACTATTTCATAGTTGTGAACCTCCTCTTATGTCAGGACCTCATAGGCTTGGCCTTCACTTATTAAGAGTGTGCCTGATCATAGTTGGGGGTTGGACTAGATGACCTTTTGAGGTTCCTTCCAACCCCGATTTTCTATGATTTTATGGTGTCCATGATTCCTTATCCCACCCTGTTCCCTCAGCTGTCCTTTCAATGGCTTCCTGGTAGGCCTCTGGCCCTCACCTGTCATCTTTTCTACTTTGATGCTGTAATTCCTTCATGAGTCTTTTTCCCACCCCTGCAATGAAGAGGTTAACTACTAGCTTGTGTTGGTGCATTGCCAAACTTACTGAACTTCCTTTCTTGTAGCCCTGCAGTTTACAGCCCATAGCACTGCAACTTACTGCCTTGTGGCATGCACTTGCCCTCTTCTAAGTAACATGATTAGGGCCGCTGTTACATTCCCACATTGCTTTGGAGCAATGGATGGAACTGTATTGCTATTCTATGGGTCAGGCCTGCTTGGCCATCATGGCAGGCTCCCTTGTCCGGAAAGACTCATCGTAGTAGCATCTGTAGGAACTTGTGCCTCTTATATTTACTTGTGAAGAATGTTAGAATAGGTCCCAGGATGTTAATGGCTTTTGATAGTCTCCCTTCATTGTGGGAGAATCCACTTATCCTCAACTTCCTTGGTTAATGAAACCTTTTATCAGTCACTTAGACTATAGAAAGGTATGATGTAACTATCACCTAAGCAGCTGCAGGATGATACAGGAGCATGCATTTAGAGGACTGATAGGGCAGTGACGTGGTTTCACATCAAGGATAGAACACCACCAGTTGTTATGCTTGTGAACTATTTTGAGAGAGCCTCACTGAGTGTTGGGAGGCTAACATGCAGAGATTTTCAGAATTTCACAAGCAGCCTGAGAGAAGCTGCCTTCAAAAGGGCAGGGCTGCCTTCTGCTCCCACTTGGAGGCTAGTCCCTGTCCTCAAGGGACACGTCTCTATAAGTGGGAATGTGCATTTCCCTGGGGTTGTGCCACTGCTAGTTGTCCCCAGGGAACACCCCTGCATGCTTGCGTGGCAAATTGCCCCAGGTGGGGCAAGGGGAGGCTAGGGCCAGCACCTGGTTTGGCCTCAGCAGCCTGACCTGGGGTCCTGGGTGTCTTCTGGGGCTGCAGCGGCAGCAGTCCAGGCACACAGAGCTTGGCTGGCAACTGGAGCATGGCTCTGGTTGGCCACGCTCTGGTTTTGGGCAGCGCACGCTGTAGCCACGTGTGGTGCCCTGCTTTTCTTTGGCAATATATATTTTTGACACTGGGATTTCCTGGTGTCGAAAAACCCCACTGCTGCAAATTAGCAGCACAGTGAATGCATGCACATGTGGCTTGTGGCACTGCAGGCAGGTTTGTGGCACTGCAAATCGCACATGCACGCTTGTGGGACATGCCCATGAGGACTAACTTTTGTGTTTTAACTTGCATCTGACTGAACCTGAGTTTAGAACACTTTCTTCATGTCTTGTGTATCCAATCTGTGGAGTGGTTTTATAGATTTTTATATATTTATGACATTTTTACAGATGTTTTTATATGGAAGGATCTTGGTTCTTCATTACATTATTAGTCACAATTCAACAAAAGCATTTATTTAAAAATGTAAACAAAAATGAATTGTATATAACTATGTGGAAGTAGAAACAATTGCAAACTCTGTCATGTAAAAAAAACAGTACTTAAAAGCAGTGCAAGAGTATAAACTTATCAAGAACATGGAGTTTATCAAAGAGTGGAAGTGAGTGCATGTTTTGGCCTCGCAGCTCTAATTGCTAGATTCCAGCCACAGGTGGCATGGACAGAGGTAGGGACACACACACACACACACACACACACACACACACACACACAAGAAGTAGGGACACACACGTACAGACACACGCCCTAAACAGTATCAAACAGTGTCATGGTTTTTGGCTGGCTGCTTGTTATATTGCACTTCTATATTCATGGCAAACTTCAATGGAGCCATGTTCGGGGCCCTACTCAGCGCTGGGTGGGACCCTGTGCTCTGCCCTGCAGCTAATGGGTTAAGAAAATTGAGCTCTTCCTGTGCACTAAATGTTTTCCTTAACAATAAATGGTCTCTCCAGAAGGGGAACACTCCATGATGTCTTGTACAGGAGCCATGGACACTTACATTTGCCTAAGACAGTTGTTCTGAATGTTTTTAGACTTCATAATTTTTGTGAAATGAACAGCACCTTATTTAAAAAATGAATTCATTTATTACAGTTCTTATTTACTTCCTTGCACAAGGGTTGGGCAATGGGGGAGGGGCAGGAGTAGAAGAGTAGCAGCTGGAGAGGGTGAGGGTCTGCACTTAATCGCCTTGCACTGCACCATATCCATAAAAGAATTTCATGGCACCCAGATTGAGAATCACTTGCCTAGTGGTTAAAGCAGTCAGCTACTAGGGGCCTGGCTACTAGGTCTTCTTCAGCATAAGGGGACTCAAACCCATGTCTACTAAAAGAGTGTCCCTACTAGATTAGAGTAGGGGTGCTTAACCTCCAACCCGCAGACCAGATCTGGCCCCTGGCATCATGTCATTCAGCCTGTAGGGCTTCCCATAGGGGAACAGTGGTGGCATTGATTGCTGCTCCTCTGCTGCCAAATTTTTGGATCTGAGGAGTCCCATGGGCCAGATTGCATGGCCTTGCATGCTAAATTGGGCATGAAGGGCAGCATGGAGTCTAATCCCAGTATATGAGGCCAGGTGGAGGCAGCATGGAGTCTGATCCTGGTGCATGAGGTCAGGCAGGATCAGCATGGAGTGCCAGGGCCCAAAGCTAGCATATGGGACCCTATCTTTGGGTGGGGGTGGTGTAGGCCCTATCTGCGTGTACAGGGGCTAGCCAAAGCCATATGGGGCCTGATCTGGGTGTTTGGGGCTCAATCCAGCCTTCAGACCAGCTCTATGCCCCTCTTCAGGCCGGTGGGGCCAAAAGGTTGAGCTCCACTGGGCTGGAGGACTCCCATGGAAGTTGTGCTATTGTGTAGTCAAGAATGCAAGATTTATGAGGCCAGAGAGAGATTAAGCAATAGGGAATATAGCTCTAAGGGTGAGAGCAGTTCCCTGCACTGGGTGAGCCCTGGATTCTGGTCCATATTCTTTACGTTTTAGCTAATGTTTCTGTAATCTGAAGCTGACTTCTGCAGTGAAAAGGGATGCATCGTTCTGCACATCTGCTTGCTCTGGGTGTTTAGCATAGTTGGCAAACTTCAGTGATAGCAATATATTTATGACTTTTTTCCTTCTATCATCAATGTAGGAGTAATTTAGCTTGAGGAATCTAGATTCCATTTTGGCTGGTTAGTCAACGGACCCATTAACAAAGTCCCCCCTGTGTGCCATCAGTTACATCTGTGCAGTCACAGTCAAGTATATGGGTCTGCACAGATGTAAAAGGGAGCACACTCTTTATTGCAGGTATAAGAAGTGAAGTCAGAAGAAACCCTACTTGATTTTCAGATCCCCAGGTTAGTTTGTAGGGCTGGCACTTTTGGAAGGGGAGCTGGGGAGGGGACGTATTTTTAGGCAGTTGGGTTAATGCAAGCTGGAGTCACTGAAAAATGATAAGCATAAAACTGCAAGCTGCCATCTTTACTGAGTCACTTTTCACAGTATAATTCTACTTTAAAGTGAATATCATATGGATTTCTTTCCTTTGATCTCTTCCAGAGAGTAGCTTCTAATTTCCAGATTTCTTCAGTTGTAACATGTAGAAATCATTTATCATTGCTTAGTGCTTTTAGAGCTGACTGTTCAGGACAGTATCAGGTAATTTCAACTCCTGAGGCCCATTAATAAAAGTTTTTAAATATGCTATGAAAACATTTTCAAGATGATACTCTCTAAGGAAGAGCTCTTTAAATGATAGCTCAGGGGAGATCTTGATCCTCAGAAGAAGACTCCCTGAGAATATAATATGTTTTTGAAGAAGGTCTCTACCACAATGTGAATTTGAAGTGATTGTAAGCTCTCTCTCTGAGGGAGATGATAAACAGTTGGGTGGTAGGAGAGGCTGGCAAAAAACCTGTCTGGTTTATTTCATTACACACAAATCTTGAACTACATTTATGCAAATGTGGCCTCATTTTCACATGCGGTAGGGCCAATATTTGGTTTTTCAGAAAAAATCCTGTGAAATGTATACTGTTTTATGGTTTCAATGCAAAGCCAGGAGAATCTTGGCAGTTTTGGAAGGACTTTTACTATAAAGTTAAAAGTGTATTAATTTTCAAAATGAAAAGCCAAACTTGGATTATGTGAATCTAAACAAACTGGTTATGTCTACATAAGATGCTACATTGCCATAGCAACGTGCTATGGTGACGTAGCAACAGCAGGTACAAACTGTGATGCTAATGCTAGGTTGCCGTAGTGATGAGCTACCGCTCTATAGCGAATCACTATGGGAACGCAGCTGCTAAAAATAACCGTGCACCACTGGGATGGCGGCACATAGTTTAGTACTTCCTAAAACAAGTATACACCCACCGAAATGGAAAGAAACAATCACATAGTTCCAATAATTTTTAACTTGAATAATCTTGAGGACATCTAAATCCTAGAACTCAGTTTTACACTTCTTAATGTGTAAGTAGCAATTTAATGCAAAATACACATTCTTGTATTTGTGTTTGGCTGCTACCATACTACCTTGGTACAAACCCAAAGATGTTACCAAAACAACTTTATTGACTGACTTAAATAAAACTAGTGCAATTTCAATAATGCCCACTAGATGAAGCTAGTGTACTGCTGCAAAGAGAGAAAGTTACAGTGTATCTACATATCATTATTACCCTACCTCTTACATTTTTTTAATGGGGAAGAAGGCCCTCTTTTCAGCAGGCAATGTCTGTGATTTGATTTTCATAGTTTAGGAAACGGCACTCCATTGCTATTAGGATAAAATTACAAAGTTATATCCTACTCCTTTGCATTTAGAGTAAGACATAGCAAAGTTTCTTGAAGGAATGTTATTCCTCGCTGCATTCTTCCATCTTCTTTTGGTCTGTCTTTTGTAGTAGCCCCTCCGAGTCTCCTTTCTTAGATATTCCAATGCAAGACACCAACTCTTGGCCCAGTTTATCTTTCTTAACATTATTTAGCCTCATTCATTAAGGTGCAATTGAGAGCTGTCCACTTAAATTGTCTCCACATATTAGGGGCCTGATTCTCTTCTTATCTATACCAGTTTCAGACTGATGTAGTTTTATTGATATCACTGGGATGATTTCCCGCTTGCTGGGGCTGACAAGCAGAGAAACTGGGAGCTTGCATCTCACTGAAAACTCAGTGTTCTCTTTCGTTCTCATAAAAAGTTGCAGGTATAACCAGTGCTGTGGCAAATTTGGTGCCCAGGGCAAAGCCTGTAGAGGCAGCCCTCCCTCACCTCACGCATAGATCTGTGGGGCATACGCCTTCCCCATGCTTGCCTGGGAGTGCACACAGCAACAGGAGCCACGTTCCCCCCATCCATGTGCCCCCCAAATGAGCCGCTCATGGCTCCATTCCGTGCCCTGCCCCGGGTGGGCAGCGCCTATTGGCGCCCCTTTGTTTTGGCACCTGGGGCAGTCACCCCGCTTGCCCCCACTTTGCTATAGCACTGGGTGTAATTCCATGCATGCATTCTGAAGCTGAAGCTGAGCAGTATGGAGTAGTCACAAGTCTGTTGGAACTAGTAAGAATTAATTACAGGTGCTTAGTACCTTTCAGGATACAGTCCTTTTTTCCTGGGCCCACCCTCCCTCCTCCAGATACAGTTAAAAACCACAAGATACTTGGCACCTACCCTGACTGGCACCAAAGGCAGAGCTTGAACTGAAGCCTGTGAGACTTACTAATAATATCTCTTTCCCAGGCTTTTGCTGGCATGAATGAGAGTCCTAGGGCTTGTCTTTATTCTTGCTATGTCAGTGTTATGCTGTTTTACATCTGTTGATTTCAGTAGAATTAAGGCTTGCCTTGCTGAGATCAGACTTAGCCCTTAATCTTTGTTCTTAAGCAAAGTGTATGCAAGATAGTGTCGCTTTAAACCACAGATATTGCTCATATTTAAACAAAAAAAATATCCATTTGTACTGGGCCCACTTCAGTTGTAATATAATTCCAGTTCTCACAGCAAAAAAATTAAAAAAAAAAAACTTTGTCAAATTAGCTCATAACTAAGACTCTACTTCTCTGCTTCCAGATATGACCAACATCCTCCAAAGCAGCATTTTTTTCCACAGGTTCAGTTTTTATTTTCATGTTTTCACTGGTTACCAAAAGAGAGAAGCAAGCTACAATCATAGCTGCAAGCTTTGTATTCAGGTACTGTGGATTGAAACTGGTATAAAACTCTTCATGTTAACATCAGTATAACTGAGATTAGAGTAATTTTACAAGACTTGGCTATATCAACATAACATGTTCCTTATTTGTAAAATTAACATTTCTTTCATTCTAATTTTCTGGTGTTGATGGTTGTCCTTTTGAGTCACACTTGATACTTTAATGCAAATTATGAAGGATAAGAAAATAAGCTGTTTTTAATAGCTTTGTTTAAAATCTTAACAGAGCAGGGCATGAAAGAGGGATGATTTATGTCAATGATAAATCACACCTATTTTCAAAAGCACTAGTAGTCAGCCTATAGTGGAATGTTCTTTTTTTTTATGTGGATTGTGCTGTCAGTGTTAAAATGTATTTTTTAAAAATAAGAACTTGATTA